ACATTGTACGATCACCAAGTTTGAGCCCACATTCATGTGTTGTGTTTGACTGTCAATAATGTCAATACAACTCTGTACACACATTTGTTGATGATATTCATGTTCAGGTATCGGAAATAAAACAGTGATTAAACATACTTGGCTGTTTATTAATACATGTGATGTTTGGTATTTACAACTTGTCATGTAGTAATGGTAAAATATTTGTGTAATATGGGTGTCAGCGTATCACCGCATGTCAGTTATACTGCATAGTGGTCCTGTGATGTCCCGATGTTGCCTATACAATCAACGATCTGTCAACAGACGCTAAACATCAGTCAATATACATGTCAAAATACACCACAATTAGTCGAGTTTCAAATGGTCACATACAACACATTCAACACGAATTATAAATGTCTGCAAACCGTGCATATGCATGCTCAATCAATGGTGATATACCATATACACAACCAGTTTAAATATGGCTGGTAAATAACTGGTATTGGCCAAGTTATATGCGTTCAAAGTGGACCATTTGCATCGTCACAATCGCGTACTAAATGGTCGATTTCACAACCAATACACAAGCCTGTGTTGATATGGTGACATGACAATACTTGTATATACTTGGTATTGTATCATGTGTAATTTCAATGCAATCCATGCATGTTTGATAACACAGTAATTAAATAGCTGACGTTTTGTAGGTTGGATATTATAGTCGATGTTTTTAAAACAGATTTTAATAAACTCGGATATTGAACTACAAAATCATCTCATGCAAACAAGTCGTATTTATACAAGTGTATTCTGACAGTGTTACAAGTTTATTGGTCAATTCATGTATGGCGCTACCAACAGAAACTCGACTGATCCAACATCCATGCATACACATTGTTGTTAGTTACATCGAATGTTTGTTCAAATAGATCGATTCAGACAGGTTGCATATAACCGACTAATCCAGCATTCATCCATTGTCAAACAACCATAATGCACAATACCACCAAGTGTGCAATCACACACGCACTGATCAGTCGTTGCACATTATGCATCAGTCAATGTTCAACATATGTGTGTCTGCAACTAAATTGCAGTCCATGACACATCCACACGATCCAACATGTCAAATCATGTACCGTGAGTCAGAGATTGATCAAAAACATGATCATGGTAAACACAGCATGTTGTTGCATATCAGAGTCGATATATCGAGTGACAGTTGCATACTTGCTGATGGTGCACAGCGTATCAGTCACAATACATGCACGGTATTGCATTGCAGTCATTGGATGATAACTGGTTGCAATGTGATACCGATCGACATACATCAGCATGGTGTGATGTGACCATAATCATGGTGGAATGTGTTGGAGTTGACATTGTGAGTTGACAATCGATACACCATGCACATGACTGGAACATATATATTCGAGTGTGGTTTGGTTGGTTTCAGGTTGATCATGCAGTCGCATTGGTGCAACGAGTGAGTGAACTGATGGTGATCTGAACCCATTTCAAC